CCCCCCCCCCCCCCCCCCCTAGCAGTACAGGCACCAGTGCTACAAAAGCCCAATTCTGAAGCTGAAAATAAAGTAGACTAAAGCCTAAAGTAACTGTAAGTAGCAGTGTGTTACAACTCTATTCCTAGTTTTTGCATAGTTCCAGGGTGGAAGGGGACTCCCCTCCCAACCCTCTTTCGCCGCCATCTCCGCCCAGAAGTCCGTTCTGGTTCCGCCTGTGCTCCCTTCACTTAGCTGGCGATTCCCGCTGTCGTGCTGCTTTCGCCCCAAAATGCCTTTTCGCAGCGCAGCTGCATGGTTTTTTTGTACGCTAATTCAACAAGCTGTACTTACACGGCGGGACGGAGGATGGGATCGCAAAATCGAATAAGGCCTTACTCTCAAAGCGGGCCTTTTTCGTGTTCATTGATTTATGCAAATTTTGCAATCTACGCCCTATTTAAGACGGTCGAATTTTCACGTTTCGTGTTGAGATGTGAATATCCATTGGCAGACCGCCGGTTGCGTTGCGGCGTTTTGCTTGCTGCATTGGGCGGCTGGTGGCGCTCGGTTGGTGTGAAATTAAAGTGTCGGGAGGAAACTTTCTGATCGTCCTGTGATACCGGTGCTGCTTTTATAGTAGAAGATTTGTAAAATGAAGCTTGCAGGGACAATGCCTGTGTCGGATTCGGGAATAGGCACTAAGGCGTCGGATGAAACCGACAGCCAAACGATGACCGATGCCAGCCCGGATGTAATCGAACTTCCCGACAAAGAACATGGATCCAGCAGCAATGACGACGATGGTACGACTCGTACAGAGGTCATTACCTCATCCAAAAAAAATGCATTTATTTTAAGATTTTTTTTAATTTTTTTAAAGATTTCTTAATGTATTTTTTTTAAATCTTTAAAAAAATGTTTTTTTTTAAAAGATTTTTTAGTGCATTTTTTTAGAGATTTAAAGACTTTTTTAATTTTGTTTTTTTACGTAGTGAAATAAAAAAAGAAGTTACACCAGTGGCCTATTAAGCTTCCAAGAGGCACTTATATTTTTTTTTTTTTGAGAGATGCTGGCCTAATTAAACTTCTGCTACTGTAAAATGTCCAGAACCTCGAAGAGCTTGTGAAAGTGGGTTTGTTTGTGTTTCTCCGAATAACATTAAAAATGTTATTTCGCTATCGGGAAATTTCTAGTTGCTACAGCACACACTGAACAAGTTTCCTTTCTTTTTTTCAGCTTTCGGAGCCCGAAAATACTCAGCCATTGGTGCAAGAAGTGTCCGTGTCTCATCCACTGCAGTATCGCTGGGCACTTTGGTACCTGAAGGCTGATCGAAGCAAGGACTGGGAGGATTGCCTGAAGCAAGTCGCAGTTTTTGGCAGTGTTGAGAGTTTCTGGAGGTTAGCCATTTCATCGTATTTTTATTGACAGTTTTTACTATAAACGTAGCGGGGATTACATAGGCTTGCGGTTTGCACGTCTCAGTATCTAACAGTAGCGTAGGATTTTTATTAGGAGGGAGGGGGAGGGGGAGAAGGCTGAAATCTGACTTCTGTTATGCATTGTCCCATAGGTAACCACTCAGCATTTTGCATACAGAATATTTTTGGTTTTCAGCTTGTACAATCATATCCAGTCAGCATCGGGTCTCAACTGGGGCAGCGATTACTATTTGTTCAAGGATGGGATCAAGCCAATGTGGGAGGATGAAAACAACGTGAGAGGCGGTCGCTGGCTTGTTGTGGTGGATAAGCAGAAGCGCGCCCAGTTGCTGGATCATTATTGGCTCGAGCTGTTGATGGCCATCATTGGTGAGCAGTTCGAGGATCACGGCGAATTCATCTGTGGCGCAGTGGTCAATGTTCGCCAGAAGGGTGACAAGGTGAAGCAGCAGCGCTTCTTCGTGCCAAGAATGGTACCAAGTTTAAGACTTTGTTTGGCACTTTCTCATTCCGCCCTGTTGCAGGTTTCTCTGTGGACTCGCGACTCGCTTCGAGATGACATCAACTTGCAGATTGGACAGATCCTGAAGATGAAACTGGACATCCCTGATTCGGACCCAATTCGCTATGAAGTGCACAAGGTTTGCTTATTTTGTACCATCTTTCTTCCATTAATATTTGATTAAAAGCCTCTTAACACTGTGTTTGAGTTCATTCGAGAACTATTTTCCAGGACTCATCTGTTCGCACAAGTTCGATGGTGAAACCACGCATAATCATTCCATCGAAGGAGGTGCGATAAACAGAAAAGCGGGGCGCTGTTTTGTTGAAGCATGCACATGTGCTATTAAACTTCTTTTTTTTTGTGTGTCCAAAGCTACGCGATCGTTGAGCTTAACTTTTTAGCTTCCTTCTGTTTTTACTAATACGGTTTTATCAGTTTCTCAGCGCGTAGTTTGTATCCAATGCGCCTTTCGCTGTGACCACATGTGTCTTGTAATTTAGTTGTTGTATTTCTCATTAAATTTTTTGCTGAATCGTCTCAGTAACATGAAAGAAACCCTTCATCTAAGCCGCCGTCAACACGTTTCCTGGTTTTCGCAAAATTTCTCACCTTGCTACATCTTCCTCGGCATATATTGTTCAGTAGTTTTGTCTTCAACCCAAAAAATGAAGCCGTTTGTACGCGTGTGATAAACTCCTGAGAGGGGGCAGTCATTTACCCCTTCATTGGAGTATTTTGACGGGACGGCCGGATTATATTCGTGCAAGAATCTTCACCAGCTAGAAAGTGCAGCAAACAGTAAGAAAAAAGTGATGGGTGCCACCGAATTATCATGATTCTTAGATTACCATGATTATCAAGTTCTCCAAATTATCATGATTCTTAAATTACCGGTGTATGCCCACTGGTGTTGTGGAGCATGCTGCGCATTCGCGGATACTAATGCAAACAATTAGTGTCTGTTCGGTTTGGGAAAGCCTACTGAAGCTTTTCTTCACAACTTGCGCACGAAACACTAAGCAGTGGAAACAGCCCATCACTGTCTTTCCGATGGACTGGATTTCCTTGTACCTTAGTGGTTTAACAAGGTTAAAAGAGGGATTATTAGCGGTCCGCCATATCTTTCAGACAATCTGACCTTCATTTGGCCCTACTGGACAGTTCCGACGTAAAGGTGGAATTGTTAATGTTCCTGTTTCCCAGCAGATACTGTATCGATGCTTCCTCGTCGTGCAACCGGCACACACGTACGTATTCAGATGCCATCATTATCTAATTCTATGCCAGTGTGACATATGGCAAGCCATATCGCAAGCTGTTAGAGTTCGCAAGTTAATTTGTCGGACAAGATATTGTGCTGGGCATCAATTCGTCAGGCTAACACGTAGAGATGGTCAGCTCATTCTTGAACGTCCCCTGATGGATGATGCTTGTTGTGTGCTGGGAAATCGAGAATGCTCGGTGTGCTGAGAATGGGGATCCACGAAGCAAGCTGGTGGATGTGCGCTGCTGCTACATTCTCAAATATTTGTTGACTTTTACTGGCAAACAATTTGTACAAAAACGACCCGGCACACAAAAATGTTGCTGGTAGACGAGATTCCCTAGGAAACTGAGGTGCGGCGTGAGTGATGATGCATTTGCAAGTCAAACAGCTGAGAAGAACACAAACACTGACTGACTAGCACACAAATTCCGGCTTCGATGCCAGCCGAGCTTCTCGATAATTCATCTCTTCCAATTCCAAGGCCTGAAACATACAGATGCTCTCAAATTACATACTCGAGCCGCACCTTCATTCCTCAAAAAAAAATTTCTCTTTCACAAATTTAAGTCGGCTTTTTTTCGAAAAATTCCGCTGCCCTTCCTGGAAGAAATGTACCGGCATACCCGTTGTGCATCTTTCTCAAGCTGCTCGTGCTGCTCCTCGTGCCTCTTCATCAGCTGCTCTTCATGTTTCTGGGCCCTGAAACAGAACTGTGCCTACGGGATCTGGCAGCATTCGGCTAAAATCTTGGGCTGAAAGCACTGAACGAACGATAGCTCACTTGATAGCCAGCCTTTTCCGCTCCTCGAAAAACATCTTCAGATTCTTCTCGTTCATCTCCTTTATTCGCCGATCCCTTTCGGCTTTCGTTTTGATATTCTTGTCCTACAATGAACAGTCAACTTCATTTTTTGCTCAGTCAATCGAAGAACAACCACAAATGAAAGCGACACGAAATAGCTCTCTCAAAGCAATGTGTATGTGTGTGAACCTGTTGGATGGAGCGTGCATCATCCATGCTCTTCTTCGTCTGCGCTTGCTTCAGGTCCTTATTCTCCGCTTCCAGCCTTAGTTTCAGCATATTCATTTGCTGCTTTTGAGCATCATGGAGCAGTTTCCTTAAAAAGCAGTTTTTTTTTTCCACTAATACGTTCGTCCCATCATCTCTATGGCATCCTAGTTCACCCACTTACAGCGTTTCTACGCTTCTTAACAACGGTTATCACCCGCAAGAAAACCATAGACAGATCCAGAACGGACTCCATGGGGCTCCAAAGGGATGTGGGGGGGGAGGGGGAGGCGGCGGGGGATGGAAGGGAGAATACCCTCTCACCCTAGAACCATGCAACAACTAGGAATAGAGTTGTAACACTGCTACTTAGAGTTACTTTAGTTTAGAGTTACTTTAGACTTTAGTTTTAGATTTAGACTCGGGCTTCTGCAGCACTGGTGCCTTGGATCCGCCTGCAAGGAAAACAGACGTCATGAATCAGTAGTACAAGAACTGTCAAGAAAACTGGGCTTCGAACGTAGTGGAGATACTCGAAATCTCACAAGAACGCATGCGTATAGTGTATAACTTGTGATGTTCAGGAGCCAAAATATTTGAAAACTTACCCTAGCAATTCAAATTCCTCTTTTATTTGCGACCTCCTCAGCTGATAGCACTCCGTTTCGTGCTTCCGCATCAGCGATGACCATTCATTGGTTTGCGACATCACCAACGATTTCATCTGAAGGAAGCACATTGGACAACAGGACAGCAAAACCTCACTGCTCCTCTTCTGCCAAACATAGGCCAGTGAACCAGCCAGTAAATTAGTTAGTTAGTAGTACACACGAAGCAACATCTATTTTAGTTAATCAAACACACTCGGTGACTGTTAGCCATGTCAGCAGCACTGCGCTGTGTCGGATCAGACTGCATAGTGGCCAGCGATTCGTGCTTCTGACCGCTCGAATTGCTGCTCCCAACAGTTCGTTTCCTTGACTGCTTGTGACTATCACATATCAACTTATCAACTGTCGTTTGCTGTAATCAGTACTGCATTTATACGAGAAAAAAAAAAACGAAGGAAAAGCAAGCAGTGAAAAGTAGCGATATCATTCAGAACAAAACGGGCTGGGAGGCCCCGCCTGTTCACCAGTTCAACAGAGTTACCTCACTTCGGCTTGTCTGCCAAAATTATCGACACTGTGATGAGATGCAGTATTAGGCAGCAATGGGCTAGGCATTTAGTGAAAAGCAAAAGCAGTTGACTAACTAATCATGGAAAAAATGCAGCACATCGCAAAACGACGATTAAGCTCACATCAGACAGCACTAGGAGAAAGCAACAGTGTGGAGGGATAAATTGGGACCTTCGGCCCCAACAACGTACATCTAATTTTCAGATATGGAAAGGCAAATTTTTTGCCCGGAGATTCAAAGTAAATAAGGAAACTAGAACTAAACCTGAAATTACATGATTTTTCGTACCCATGTGCTATCCTCGAAACACAAATTTACCAAATCTAAATTCCTCGGACACCCATTACCGTCGCCCTCGACCCACACCATATCTCGCCGCCCTCCACCGGCACCCAATCACACCGCTTTCTACCTGCAGCCAGTCCCATCGTTCTCCACCCTCAGCCAATCCCTCGGTTCTCCACTCACATCCTCTCCTACCAGCCTTCATCAGCACCCTATCTCGTCGCTCTCCACTCACAGCCAATCGCGCCGCCCTCCCCCGCAGCCAATCCCGTTGTTTTTCCCCTCCCCCTTTTCACCGCGCACCCTGTTCGTCGTTCTCTAATCACGCCGCCCTCCAACCACAGCCAATCTCTTAAATGACAAAAAAGATCCCTCACCCAGATTTGCTGGGAAAGCTAAAATAAGCCGACGTAAAGAACTCGTTCCAAGCTTCCAGTTTGCTACAGCCGGGAAAAAATATCAGTTCCTAACTTTCGTAAAGTGACATTATTTGCAACTGCACGCCAAATGCTATTATATCAGAGTTACTTTTATTAAAACACAGCAACTAAAATTAAGAAATCATTGGGAAGTTAAAAAACCAAAAAATGAGTGCTCCTCGTTTCTAGAATCTGTGGACTACCTGCTGCTTCTGAATTGATTCCCTTTGCTTTTGATGTCGTTTCTTCAATTCTTCCACATCTTTTTGCAGCTTCCTCGTTAATTTCTGGAAGCACTTGTCTTTTTTCAGATCACTGAGATTGATCGCTTCCACCTGAAAAAAGACTTGCGCGTTCGTCCATCTTCATAAAACACAGGGATGTACTGCACAATTTAAATGTACCGCATATAATCTCAAATCGGCAAAGCTGGCAAATGAAGGGCAACCTGTTCTTCGTAAGGCGATGGAAGGAACAGACGTACGTAAAGGGGTTTGCCCCTGCGAATTCATGGTTTTTATGAGAGCGATTTTGCACCAGAATGACAAAGGATGGACCGCCCGCTGGCAGTAGAATGCTGTTCCTAGCTAGAAGAAATTAGTTTTTCTAAGTACTTTTCAGATCGACAATCAAACAGCATAATGAGATGTTTAGAAACTGGAAAAACAAGTACGGTGGCTGGGATGCAGTGCACTACAAACGCCCAAGCCTCAAGCTAGTCCGAAATCATTTCTGACATAAGCGTTGCTTTTGTGTTTTCTAAAGCCATCAAATGGGCCACTAATGCTTGTCAGTGTTGTTTATGAAGCTCATAGAATACTCCACCGAATACTGAATAATTAATAAAAAACTTGACCAAACGACGCAAAAAAAAGCATAACATTCCTTTCTTTATTTTGAAAGTAGCGAAGGGTAGGTAAATTTATTTTCAGCTTTTCTTTATAACATTACTGCCTGTCCGGGTATCATAGGAAATATTTGCTACTACAAAAATCCCTTTGTCGGGTAGCTGCATAATAATCGCTGAATTGCCAGGGCAGGAATTTTTTTTTTACTTGGGCTTACACTGTACAAAAAATGATTCCAGCTTTCCCACATTTCGTCGCTCTACATAATCACATTCCTTCTCGTCCTTCGCGCAAAAAAAAAAAAATCATGCATTGAAATCTCGTCTGAGTAGATATGTTGTGCATATACATATGTAGATGTAGGCCTTTTTTGACCTTACACACTGCCCAATTAAATATTTTTAAAAAAAAAGTGAAAAAATAGTCACTTTATGTTTCGTATCTGAAGCTTCAGAGTTTGGTCGAGCTGTTTCCTTGAGCGAGGCCGTTGACTTCAGCGAACTGAAATGCC